CATCTGCTTGCCTGCCGGGGCCGTTTGAGGGGACGCTTTCCCCTAACAGCAGTCAGGACCCGTGCATCTCTTAAATGCCAGCTGGCTGAGGAAGAAAAAACGCGTGGTTTTTATTGAGGTACAGGAGTAAGTTACTGCGTTTCAGTCCTGCCTACCTTGTTCCCAGTATAGCTTGGCTGTGAAGTTGTGCTGTCACTAGTTACATGCTTCTCCATACCCTTTAGGAAACTACATGAGGTTATTTTCTTAGTCAGGAAGGAAATGGGAATTTGCTTTTTTCCAAGTGGCTTTGAAAGCTTGGGAAAATAAAAAGGAAATGCAGTGCGTGGTACTGTTTCCATTAATAATCAAGATAATTTGGCAGTTTAAATATCTTTGGGCGGTGGAGTTTAATGACATGAAACAGCTGATAACTTGTGACGTGTGTGAGGCCTGTGGCTGCTTTTTACGTCCGTGAGTTGGAATGGCAGCAAGGAATGAGTGAAAGCTTAACAGGCAGCGGTTTGTCGCTGACATTGAGCCCTGACTTGTCACTGAAGTGCTGTCAGCGAGAACGGGGTATCTGCACATTCAGATTCTGGCGAACCTGATCAACCATATGGATGCTTGTTCATTTCGATAAACAAGCTTTCTTCTTTGTTACCAGTAATCAGTCAAGTTCGGTAGCTTGTTTTAGTTCGTGTTTTTTTAGCTACTGTTGTAAAGACATTTATTTAGGCTGAGCTTGCACAGTGACCTGAACAAAAAACTGGGGTATCTTAGCCATGCGGTTTATTTAAAGTTTATTTAAACCAAGGAAGAACCACATCCATGTACCTTCAAACTAAATGGAAGCTTTGATTCTTCTTGTGGCGTAGCATAAGAAGAAATGCTAATGATGGCTACATTTTTGCGTGTTTAAATCTCACCCCACATGAAAATTCTCTTTGCTCAAATACTCTGATAGAATCAAATAATTTGTGTGGTGTGATGCACTATGCTTATGTTTTTAAACATGTTTTATGTTTAAAAACATAATCAATGTTTTTAATGGGAGTGTTAATCTTTTACTAACACATTATTCTGTGGTGGAAGTTTTTGTATAGTGTTTTGCTTTACTTAGATCATCTTCTTTGCTTTACGTGTAAGTAGTCCAAGATTAATTTAAAGCTAAGTGCTTCTAAGAATCCTAAGTGTTCTTCCCCTAAAGATCAAGCTGTTAAGTACTGCAAGCTTATACTACTGTAGGGACTTACTTCATGTTAGCCTTTTCTTTTTGAAAACTCTAAACATAGTAACAGTACACAGCTATTCTACATTTAAAAATTTGTTTTTGAAGTTTCATTAAATTTAAAATTAAAGTTTCTCAGGACTTCTTTTCTTGAGGAGTATGTTAACACATAGCTTTTCTGGCACTACTGCCTTTCTTACTTCCAAACCAAGTAATCCCAATGCAGGTTTCTTAAATGAACAGTGTTGAGCATGGTAAGCTATATTCACCTGTTCAGACACTTCTGGATATCTGTAGTATTCAAGAAGCAAGGACTATGGACTTTGCTCCTTTCTGAAGAAAGTAAATGTTTTTATTTCAGGGCTGGCTTGCTCTTGGATACATGGTTAGAACAGATGCTGCAAAACATAAAGAGCTTTTGTTGTCAGAATTGACAAAGTTGAAATTAACAGTTATCTGCAGAATCTTTTGGTGAAATGATGTTTCTGTGTGCCCATTCACACTCTGAATGGCTGTATGACAGGAAGTGTTTGAGTCAGCATGTTTTCTTATGGTAACCTTGGAATTTTGTTCTTTGTCCCCTTCCTTAGCATTAATGAGTCTGGTTGGAAAAAAAAAAAGATAAGCAAAGTGAAAGTGTCCTGCTGTTATGGAGTTTTAGCTAAGAAACTCCAAGCCAGTTTTGATCTCCAGATCATCCTTCTTTGTCCTAGGGGCACCTGTCCATAGCGAGTAATGTTCTCTACTAGTAGGACTCTTATTTTTGGCACATAGGCTTTGTGTGCTTCCTGGCACGCAGGTGAGAGAGACAGATTACTGTGCTATGACTTATCCCTCAAGACTTTGAGTACTTCTCTGTTTTGCTCACCTGTTCCTTAAAGTCAGGGACATGCTTCTGAGATGGCTCAACTCTTGGGTCAAGAAATTCAGCTATTGATTTTTCTGGAAATATTGGGGAGTATCAGAATGCCTTCACAGATTCTCAAGGCTTTGATTTTTGAGCCAGAAAGAGACAGTTTTTCCCTGCCTCTACTTGCAGTGGCAGTGAGTACCTGTTAAGAGTTTGATATACCTTGAAATGGGTAAATACTTTTCCTTTGACTTCATAATGCCATAGCTTTTGCTGTAATGACATCAAAGCCCACTTAGCCTGGGACATCCCTTGATTGAGATTTTTCTTTGATAAGTTAACTTACCTTTTTTGGGTTTTTTTTCCCCTTCCTCCCCCTTTCCATGCCTTCTGATTGCTCCACCTGATTTGGGAGGTATCTCTTTTCCTCTAATATTTAGGGTATTTTGGAGAAGGCTTTTGGTGATCAGCTTTGGGTGCTGTGTTTTCTCAATTAACTTCAGGTTCTGTCATAGGCTGTATCTTAGCTTACGTTATATCTTAGCTTTGATGGAAAAGTTGACCACTAGCCTCCAAAATGACCTTTATACCCTGCTTTCTCTTAGGATTGACCAGAAACAGTGGATTCCGGATGGATGAAACAAACTATGGCATGCCTACTCCAGCCTTTAATTTTTGATTTGGTTATAGTGAATTCTGAAAAGGTTGGCCAAAAGAGTAGAGGCATTTACAGTCTTGTTAATGTGCTCTTCATTTCTTCTGTCCAGGAGTCTTCTTGCACTTGGTATTAGCTCGCTTTTAGTTGTTGCAGCTAGGTATTGATACAAGATTTTTTAAAAATTTTTTTTAGGGAGATTGATTCTTTTCTAGTGGGCTCAGGGGTGATTTTCAGTGGCTGTAGATTGCATACAGCCACTAGGTAGCATTTTATGTAGCTGATAGTGCTTCCATGGTGCTAGATGGTTGGAATGCTTTCAAGCGTGGCCCTTTACTGAAGCATGTGAACTGAGTTAGATAATTTATCATTTGATATTCTCCTCAATTTATTGCCAGAATGGATGCTGCTTGTCTCTGTATGTGGAGAGAGGATGCCTGTATAGGTGTCAGTCCTCTTTGTGGCCTTTATTAGTTATTATTAGGACAGGTTCTGAGTTAAAGTTTGGAATAAAATTTGTTTTGGGGAACATGCCATTTGCTGGAAAGCTAACCTTTCATATTTCTTAGATCAGTCGCTTGCCCTTCAGGACAATTTCTGTCCTTTGCAGTGAGGTCGAGGGATAGAGCTATTTTCATACGGTGCTAATCAAATTGGACAGCAATATATTGAAATGGTGGTGTGGTTCTGCCTCTCTAGTGAAGTGTGTTTAGGTTCATACTTGCACTTTGTCCTGCTTAAAAAACAAACCCACAACGTTTTCATCCTAGACACTTGCCAGGTGCTCCATTTGGCTCATCTAATACTGTGTTGTCATAGAGCCATTAAAAAGTTACATTTGCTTTCAGTGAAGTTTTTCTGCAATATAGTTGCTTGTCTGAGGGGCTTGGAAACCTGTCATCAGGCAATTGAACAAGTGCAGCAGTGCCTCAAACGTCCACAGAGTTTGACTGTGTGCATGGACAGTTTGCTTGAATACTTACAGAGATGTCAGCTGCGTTACAGAATTGCTTCCCACCTGTTTCCTCTTTTTTTATCCTGTAAATTGGGATTGCAGATTGAGAGAAGTTAGAAGAACAAGGCATGTGCTTTGACTTGTGTTGGAATAGGATGAGGTATTTGGGCTTTAGTACTTCACATGGTTATTGTCAAAGCAAAAAAATTTTCAGTCTTGGCTGGTTGTGATCCAAAAGGTGAATGTGCTTACAAACAGTGCACCATAAGGAAGTCCAGTTGCTGTTAAGCAGCGTCTTTTTTGTGCTTTCAGTAGTAGCCATTCCTAAGTAAAGGTTGGTCTTTTAAATCACATATTGTGTACAATTCACTGTATGGATAAATGTCTTCCTGAATTTCAGAATTAATGCTAATTGTTGGTATTTTTCTAGGTAACTTGGGAGATCGGGCATGTCTTAGCTGTACATCCCTGAGGCTGGCAAACAAAATGTGAGTAAATATGAACTTTTTTTCCCTAAACTCAAAGCTGTACAAAACCGTCAGTTAGTACGCTATCATAGAATGTAGGTTTAAATCTTCTAGACAAAGTGTGAAAATACTAGCTTCAGCTTGTGTTATTGACAGATTAAAGGAAGTCTGAGTATTACTCTCTTCACCTGCTTGGTTGTGTGTGGGAGGAGGAAAGTGAGATCTTCCTTTTTTTGCCCACTTCCTCCTTTTTTGTTTCACTTACGATGTGAAAGCAATAGAATATTAATCTTGTTCTTGAGTGATTCCAGGTGACATCACGGGATATCATGGGCTTCTTGTGTACTTTCTCTGTGGAATTCCATAGAGTAAACATTCAGTCAAAGCTGGTTTGAAAAACATAGTTGACAGGAATGTAGATCATTTAAGTTGTCTCCTGATTAAACCAAAGTAGTTTACTGTATGTTACAGCCTTGGGTGAGGCTCTCCTAGAAGATAGTGTCCTCTTCTGAAAAGGAGTCCAGCTGCTGTGTGCTCTTATGGGACTCAAGGAGTTGGATGTTGGCAGAATTCATTCTCTGCCCCTGACTTGGCTCACAAGGCATGCTTGTGGATATGAATTTCCTAATGCCTTTCCTTGGAATGTTAAAATAGGTATTCTCTAGTTTATTTACAGTCTAACTGCTCAGGAAACAGTGACTATTCTTCAATTTCCTAAGTTTCCATTTTAGCATAAGGATGTGTCTCTAGACATAACCCTCTGATATGAAACAAAGTAATTCCTTTCTTTTTTAGTCATGTTAGTTCTGTATCACTTACTGTATAATTAGTTATGAGAGTTTTTTTTAATACATAAAGCATTTTAAATTCCCTGTTTGCTTTTTAGTAGATTGTTATATGGGGCCTCTTTCCGGGAAAAATAGAAACTTACAGTTTTAAGTGTGTTATATGAGCAGCAGAATATTGAGACAGAAATTCTTGTTATTCTTTTGAGAAGCTTTTTTTAACCAAAAGCTGCTGTTAATGTAATGTTGCTGCTTAAAATGAAACAAACTAGTGCCCGCACCCATATAACCCAGATCCAAAAGTAAAGGAGTCTAATGATACAAGCACTGAGTATAGCTTTGGATAGAAGTTCTATGTCTGACATCCTGCTAGTGAAAGTATGTTCAAAGAGGCACAGTTCTTGTGAATTTTTTTTCCCCTGCAGACTCAGAACCAGTTCTGCTGGCAGAGCTCCCTTCCTCTCTGCATGCAGAAGGTAGATATATACATAGGTGGAACTTGGTCTGTACAAAATTCTGAATAAGGTAGAAGAGTGCTGGTTCTGTGTGCCCCAGCTCAGTACCATGATGGAAATTTGTGCATAAAGTTTCTGCTGAAAAAGGAAAACTAGATGCATGGAGGTAGTAAAAGAGGAACTGTAATGAAATCAGGTTTCTCTGATACTAATTCTCTTCCTCTAACTTAGCACCTATCCCAAGCCTACAACTTGTATTTTTTTCTCTCATGCTTTGTATTTTTTTCTTTCATGCTTTGTATTTTTTTCTCTCATGCTTTGTTCAAACAGGAGAAGTAATAGAAGGGGCTCTGTGTTACTTGTGAATTTACAGATTTATTTTCAAGTGTAGCTTTCTAAATGGAAAGCACTTCTGGTTCCTACTTTTTATGTAATTGGAGTAAAATAAGCTACCTTTTCAAAGTTGTTTAATGGAAAATTCCCTGCAGGTTGTTCTTTGTCATAAAGTACAGCCAAGCATTCTTTTCAGATATAGTCATCCTGATCTTGAGAGTCACAGGTTTGGGGTTTTTTCTTAAATATGTGGTAGATAATTCCCAAATGATGCATTTTATAAACACATAAATTTACGTAACTATACAAATGCATTATATACAAATATATAAATAGCTTATGATCTATTACTAATTCTTGAATGCTTTTTTCTTCTGAAGGACTGTACACTTTAAATATTGCACTAGTGTCCCTCCTGTTTACGCATACTCCAAAAAAGATCGCTACTGTTGTTGGACTAAAGGATCTGAACAAATATGCTTTACTTTTACGAGCTCTTCTGGCTCACGGACGCCACTAGCAGCCATGGGTGTTCTAGGTCCCCAGTATCTTCCAGTTAGATGGTGGCATTCTTCACGTCCCCTTCGAGATGACTCCATAGTTGAAAAGTCACTGAAGTCCTTAAAGGACAAAAACAAGAAGTTAGAAGAAGGAGGTCCTGTATATAGTCCAACAGAAGTGGAAGTTGTGAAAAAATCTATTGGACAGAGGATTGTGGATGAACTGAAGCACTATTACCATGGTTTTCGATTACTGTGGATTGACACAAAAATAGCTGCAAGGATGCTTTGGCGAATACTTCATGGAAACACTTTGTCTCGTCGAGAACGGAGACAGGTACTGAGTAAATACCAATTTCATTTGAGTATCCTTAGTGATTGCTCCATTTTATTTGAACTGAGTTGGTTCTTTCTGTTGTCTTCTGTTCCTAGAATTAAAATTGCTAGGTGTATTTCCCTCCTCCTCCCTATGTGGACACTAAAAATTTTGGATTTGACTCCAAAACATTTTAGTCTTGTTCCCCATTATTTATGATAAATTTGGTATTTTCTAGCTGGAACAGCAGAGGTTTCTTATGTTTTGTCATGTGGACCGCAGTTGTGGTTTGTTCTCAAGTTCCCATCCATGTGCCTCGTCTGTGTACATGGTCACTTTCTCTGCTTTTTCACTCCAGCTGGAAAAATAGAGGGAAAACACTTCTAGTAAAGGTTGGATTTGTGCCAGTTCTATCACAGGGTTTGGGTTTTTTTTTTTTTGTAAACAGAAGAAAAGCTGCAGGCTAAAATGCATGAAATGATAATCGGTTATTAGCACAATCTCAGTTATAAATACGTTTGTGAGATAATTTTAGTCCAAAGAAGATAATTTGAGGAAAGAGGGGTTTTTTTATACTTTTGTTTTTTCTTTATGGCATGTAGCTTACATTTATGAAACTGTAAAAATGCAGCTGATAATTTTAAAGAAAAGAGAAGAGGGGATGGAGATGAAATCTGCAGTGCAAAATGAGAGTGCTTTCAAGTTAGGATAAAATACATGCATTTCAATAGTAATTTCAGTTTGTGGATGAAGTAAATATGTGTATTCAACTAGAGTTAAAAGATACATTGATATTTAAAAACATTTGACGTGAGCTCATGTGTGGAAAGACTGCAAAATAATAAGCTGTTTTAAAACTGATGTAGTTTAAAAGAAAGAATGTATTGGTATTCAACTTCACCAGTTAACAACATATCAACCACGCTGATATAATAGTTCTTGCTTTACTGTTTTTGACGACAAGATGTTTAAGTTTATACAGATAAAATATTCAAGTCTGTCTTTCTGCCTTTAAAAAAAAAGGCATTTCAGCTGTTGCTGAAAAAAATGTGCTAGAAGAAATGTTGGAGGGTGAAAAGTGCATGTAATTTGGCAGCAGGAGTTAATAGTGCAGCTTGCAGTCATGGTCTGGTTCTCTGCAGTTTGTACACTGTACATAGGTTCACATCTCTGCCTTCAAAAATTTTGTTAAAATGATCAAAAATATGAATATTTGCTCATTTTTTTAATAATTTCCTGATAAAATTTGGTACATAGTTGAACATTTTCATGTCTAATTAAAAAACATCACATCTTAATGCAGTATGCAAAAATGCTTTTCCTATATTTGCAAGCTTAGACAAATAACAAAAATTGTTAAATGCACATGTAGCAGTTTTCATCTGTGATTATTTGGTCTCTTTCTACAACAGCACTGGTTGACGGTATGTGGTCTCAGCATCTTCATGCTGGTTGTTTTTGCCCTCTTCCTTATGCTGGTACAAGAGTATGTTTGGCAGCTGATCCAGCTGAAACGTTGCTCAGCAATAAATATAACAGCCTGTGCTGACATAAGAGAGGGGATTATGTAGTGCCAAGAAAGAGTAACTGAGGATAGGGGTGGAATGAGGACCGCAGGACTTCTTGAAGTAGCATTTCTGGCTTGTGCTGGCTTATTGAGAGCTTTGGAAAACTTGGAAAACCAACTGAGACAAATTAATTCATGGTTTAAAACAGAATCAGAAATCCTCCAGAGGGCAAGACTTGGAACCACTGGTTTTGCTGCCTGTTTCATGTTCTCTGAGCCATACTTCTGAGAAGTTATACAAACAACAGTAAAATATGGATATCATGGAAATATTTCTGCTGAAAGATCAGGACTGTATTCTAGAAGGCATGAACCTTTAGAAGTAATACATTATGTTTGGACATGCATGCGTTATTCTGTCAATAGATGGATTTATTCATTTCGTTTCATCATCTAGTGGTGATAGAGCTGTCTTTCTCATATTCATGTAGTGGTCTGGCATTTGGCCTTCCTGAATTTTTTTTTTTTTTTTTTTTTTTGCAGATGTGTGATTTCAGTACCAATTCCCTTATTTTAAAGACAATAGAAATTTATTGTGCAGGTATAAATTAGTGTTTATATCGATGTAGCCTGTCTCTTATCTAATGATGTGTGTGTGTCTGTATGCGCGCAGTCTGATGTAGATGATGTAGAGAAAATAGTTTTAAGAACTACAGTAATACTATTTTCTCAATCTAGGTTTTGTCTTTTCTTTATATGGAGGCAGAGAATGTCCTGTCTCTTGAATGGAGTAATGGTAGGCTATAGAACCTAGGGTCAGTGAAAAGCAAACCAGCCTACAGCTGAACAAAACCCTTTACATGTGCTTTTTTTAAACCTTATTTTGTTTCAACACAGTTCATTTTTCATCAATTCACCCTTAAATTGTAGTATACTGGCTTATTTAAAGAAGTCTTAAAACTTTGATGCCAGATTAGTTACAACTTCGCAAAAGTTGCTCCTGAACTTTTTTTAAAAAAAAAAGTGCATACTGCTTTAAATGTATTAAACTGCATGTGAACTGACAGTCCTAGAGTAATCTTATCTTCACGCAGACTGACAAATGAGTTATTTCTGCCTGCCCTTTCCTTCCTCTTTGGAGGCAATAATGGAAAGATATCCAAGTAATCTAACCACATTAACAAGCAATTGCAACATGGCTAATGCAAGGGAGCTATTGCTTATGTAAACCAAAAGTTGGTTCCAAAATTCTGCTTGCACAATTGCTGGTAGGGTTTGGATTTAACAGGATCACATATCTACACTTAGGAGAGAAGGCAGGAGGAAGTAAAACATGAGAAATATGGTACTGGCTGTTAAAAACTAGTGCTGTAGTGCTGCTCGCTACAGCAGGACGGTTCAGGACATGGAAGTGAGATGGCAAACACTATGGAGTTTGTGGCCAGTATATCGGCCTTACAAACTCTTCAGCCCTGCAGAGGAGGGAAAAGTGGAATACATGAACTGTAGCAGCAGATACAGAGTAGTCACAAGTTTTCCATGCTGTGCTGCCAAATAATGTGTGTGTAATCATGCACCATTGTATTAGGTTCCTGTGCAAAGTTGTTTTCCTCGAGTTAGCGGAGGGTGCAGTTTCATGATTTATGTAAGCTGATCCAGGACAGTGCTCTGTGAAAAAGGCCAGTCCTGCTCGGTGCTCAAATCAGGTTTTCCAACACCCCCTCCCTTTTGGTTTGTACTGATCCTTTTTCCCTTGTCTGTGTATGTATTTATGTGTTAGTTTTAGCTGGATCAATGGTGTACCTTCACACTGTGACTGCTGGTGTGCATTCATGACTCTTTATACCTTATCTCAGGTTAGCATTAGGTTAGCTTAATCCGGTTGTAAAACTGCTTCTTTAGATATGGATTTTGCCTTGTACAAATACTTGCATGCACTGTCTAAAAATAGATACTGGGTAGAAATAAGGGCTCTGTATTGCACTCTATAGAAATCTTTGAGGGTTTTTTATAGGGAAGATGTACTTGTTTTCTGAGTTAAAATTTTCTTCCAAACTTTCTTACATCTTTTTGAATGCTGGTAGTCATTTATCTTCTATTGTTGTAATGAATGAAAACATCTTTGAGCCTGTAAACAATGGACCAAAGCATCCCTTCTGGGAAACTGTATTTTTTTATATACTAACAAAAATGCCGAACTTTGGATCTGTGGAGTTTGTGCATTCCTCAAACTGTATTTAAGATTTTTGGCTGGTTTTGTGCCAAGAAAATGATGGTTAAGGTTTTACTGGTTCTGTGTTCTAGCAAAGAAGTCCTAGCAATATGCAATCTACTGGTTGTTGCTGCTGTTCCCCTGGATTGGCATGAGCTTTGGAGGGGGTGGAGGGGGAAGCATGCATTTACTTGTGTAATAGCATTTATGTTGCCAGTTTTTGCCAATCATAGCTGTGTTTATTAAATCATGATGTTGAATGACAGTGCTGTGGCAGTAGTGTACTGTAGCGTATGTCTGACCTTCAGTCTCTGATTTAGGAACTGACATTATTCCCAATAACCAGTTATTTGCTTTGTAAAATGAGGTAGAGTCAAGCAAGTTCTGTACTCCTCAATATAAACCAAGTTACTAAGCTTCCAACAAGTACTGAAAGATTTGATTGTAGACTGTACAGCCTAATATATGCATTTGTGGGTGTACAGAAATCAGAAGGACAATGTTTATTTTACGCAGTTCAAGATTCAGTAACTAATGCATCAGCCTGCTTCAGAGGATTACTGCTCTAGAAAAGCAGTGATTTAAAAAAAAAAAAAATCTACCAAGCCAGGCTCATTACCCTGGATTTAAATGTACATTATAATTGTTATAAGGCAGAGGGGCTGGGATCTTTCATTTTATTCTTGATTACTTAGTCCATAGTAGCTCATGCATGTAAGAAGTGGTGGAGCACAAATAAAGATGAATAAAAGAAGTTAAGCAGCTTTAACAACAACAAATGACCACCTCCTGTTTTCAGGTGCTTTTAAGAGGTTTAAATGAGATACTTGTTCTATAATCCTATTGAGACACAGTGAGGCTTTTGAAATACTTTCTATAGAGTTGAAAACTGGTGGAACTCTAGCACTCCGTAGTATAATCTGTAGTATATAGCAACTTGAAGAAAAAGATACTGAAAACTGACTTTGTCACATCCTTTTTCTGTGTTTTAAATTTCCTTTGTAGCAAATGTATATATGTGTGTTGAAGTGATAATGTGGATGATCATATGAAGCATTTTTTAAATGTATGCATTTCACTTATTAATACATTTATTTTTTCTTTTTTTTTCCCCCTTCCAGTTTCTTCGAATATGTGCCGATCTTTTCCGCTTGGTCCCTTTCCTAGTTTTTCTTGTTGTCCCATTTATGGAATTTTTACTTCCAGTAGCTCTTAAGTTGTTCCCTAATATGCTTCCCTCTACATTTGAGACAAAGTCTAAAAAGGTAAGTAGGTCTGAATTTATAATCCAGTAATATGTTTTGAAAAAATTAGAACTTTCTTTGGTAAACAAAGAAATTAGAAAAATTCTAAAAATTAGGATTTTTCTTTGGTATCTGGGGAATGCTTTTGTATTTCTTTATGTTGTTTTGATGATCTTGCTCTTAACATCTAATAATGAAACGATGCTACCTTGATTTATGTTTTTATATATGCAGGTGCTTAGCTGTGAGGGCTGTAAGCTTCTCTTGTCTTTTTTGCTATCCTTATCTCCATTTTCTGTGACCCTTACAAAGCAGAAATGAAAGCTCTGAAACTCTCTTTTTCTAGTTTGTATTAAAATGGAGAGACTTTGTTTTAACATTTGTAGTCTTTGTTATTGATGCAAGGTTTTTTTGTGGGTATACTAAATATTTAAAAAGTGTCTGATGTATTGTTTTGTTTAAACTATTTCTTTTAGTTAAGTTTTCTGGGAATTGTTTAGAGCTTTGTAAAAACAAACCAAAAAGCCAAAAGTTTTCACTTTGAGCACAAAATACTTACATGAGGTTTGTACATAGTGAGCTCCCAGTCAGTTACAGATATAATCAATCATGATTGTATACTTGGATCTAAGTAACCATTAATTTCTGGTTCTGCGATAAATTCCTCTTTGTTTGGGTGAGATGTAGTGTAGGATTTCTGTGCTAGATACAAGAGTTGGGAATTACCCAAACCAAAGTTGGTTAGTTTCTATTTTTTTTTGTTACTAATTCATAGGGTGCATGTTAGTTTTAGCAGGTGAGGCCACTCATGCTGCACTTCACTCTGTTGGCATTGCATCTCATGCTTCATGGAGCTTTGAGCTGATCAACCTATTTTTTCAGTGTGATTTGGGGATCTTTGGTAAGAGTGAATGTTCTCTTGTGATGTGTATGTTACAGGGAAAGTTCAGAAGTACTCCACCTAATTTGTCTGAGGGCAGAAGAAGTGGTATTTAGTGTGCATATTTCTGGAAAGAACTTTTAAAACCAAATTTTTTTTTAACAGGAGGAAAGGTTGAAGAAAGAATTGAGAGTAAAGCTTGAATTGGCTAAATTCCTTCAAGACACAATTGAGGAGATGGCCTTAAAAAATAAAGCAGCCAAAGGAAATGTTACAAAAGATTTTTCAACGTTCTTTCAAAAGGTAAAAATTTTAAAAACCCCATTTTCTCTTCCTACCAAAAAAAATAGCTTGGTGTTTTGTTTGGTCTATGGTAATCATCAGATACCTTTATTTGGTTGGATTTGAAGGAGCAGGATGTAATAGTGGTTTTGTAGGATAGATTTCTTTTTTGCAAGTAACACTTGAGCGTGCTGAAGTTTTACTGTTCTTAGCTTTGGTATTCTAGCTGCTACTTTCACTGTTTTTGATTCTAGAAGCAGTATGTTTCTGCTTATTCTCTTCTCGTTCTCTTATTTTATTAATAAGTTAATTCTAACATCAAAAGGATTATGCGCTCAGTGGTTACGTAGTTTTTGACCTCTTTTTTTTTTTTTTGAACATTGGGTGTAAAAAGTGGGAGAAACAAGTTCTTTCCTAATAAACTGATTAAAACTTAGTGGGGGAACAGTAATGTTTTTTTGTCAAAATTAATTCTGCTTATAAAAACAGTTTTTAAATGCACAGATGCTATACTGCTGAAATCCTTTCTGGTATACCACACTAGAATGTGGTATAATCTGGGGTTTTTCCAGAATGTGAGTGCTGTGTTTGGTACAAAGTTTTTCCGTTCACAAGTAGTTGCTGACAGACTAAATGTCAGATACCTGCTTCCTATGTTGATGGCCTTTAGGTTTGACAGTGTTCCCTTTCACCAAGTTGTAGGTAAGGGTAAGGTATTCCCTGGAGACATGAAAAATGCCTTCTTAAATCTTCTCAGGATAGGATTTATCTCGGTCTGCTCGCACTTTTCATTTCTCTTAATTGTGGAGCTGTGGAGTACAAGGTCGAGACAACAACCATCACCAGGCGCTTTGTTGAAAGTAAGAGTGTAGTCCACTCCTTTGGGGAGAGTGTGTATTTGCACAGAAAAAGGCACATAAGCCTGGGGATTTCAGACCTGAATTTTACAAGTCCTGTCAGCTAGCTTGAGCTTTTTCTGCTTGTCAGTGCTGAGAATGAAGTTTTAAAGGGTGGGGTAATAAGATCCTGTTGATGGTGCCACGTAGGTTACCTCAGATAATGATATTGGCAAGTTTTGCTGGTTGGTATCTGCTTGCAAAGTCCATGTACTTTGAAGCTTCTATGCAATCGTCTGTTTCTGTCCTTTTTCAGCTGCAGAAAATTTTAAATGGTTAGTTATATCATTTAGTAGCTGAAGCATTGACACTGCGGACTCTGGGAGCGTGCCACTGCCATGCTTCATGTTTGGAACGTTTCATTTTCTTCTGAAAGCACTGCTACTGAGAATTTACATTTGGCAGTTAATTTCTGTGGAAATAAATGACGTATAACTCCACATTTGCTGGAGGAAGTCCCAAGTTACTCTGATGACTAAAAAGAAGTTTCAAGCCCTGCATTTATGTGTGGGTGTGCTTTTTACAGCTATCTATTTCTCATTTGTGGCATGGAGACAAACTTAATTGATCTCATCTCACTGTACTAGATAATAAATATCCGAGTAAGAAGCTGCTTAAATGTTTCCCACTTTTTTGCTGTTCTTTTATAGCTGCTTCTGCAGTGAAGTATTTGATGCTGCAAGAACCATTGATTACAGGCTTAACATGTTTGCTGCAGAATTCCAGAATTTATCTGTGTTATTTTGTAGCTAGTGATGTACTAGTTTTGGTTTGTACTCTCAAGAAATGTATGCTTGGCTCTGGCAAAATTCAGCTTTAAAAAAGAAAGAAAATACTTTCAGTGTTTTTAAAAAAGTTCCATTTTTTGCTTCTGTAGTGAAGGAGCTGGTGAAGCAGAACAACAAGGCCTTTGACCTTTCTTTCTCTGAGTTGGTTTCTCTGCTACATAAGTATCCTGGCAGTTAATGGACTCAAGACCATCTTGTCTTTTAAATTTTTATCTTTTCCTGTACTCACTAGGTGTTCAGTAAAAGATTTGAGTTGGCAAGTAAAACAGGTAGGCATAATAAATCAGGCTGTATAGGTAATGTTAGGTTTTCAGACTTGGTGTCACTTCAGCTTATGTTTTCTTTACAGGGCTTAAGTAAAGGTAGAGGGATTGGGAAAAGTGTTTTCTGGATATCTGTGTACTTATTGTTTTGACTGAAGGTGTTAAGTGACTAGGAGTACTTCATTGTTAAGTTCTGTAGATTTTGGATTCAGTAATATCACTGATAAGCACTTGATGGTATACTTAAGATAGAAAAATCAACATTTATACAGGTGGTAATATTTTACTATGACCTGATGAGACTAGGGAATGATTTTTTTTTTTCCCTCCTTCTTTGAACTGTTATTTCTGCTTCCAGTATTTGGATTTAATTACTGTGAAGTGCCGTTTGTAAAAGCTTAACTTTGCATTTGTACAAGCAGTTACGTAGAACCTTCCATCAAGAAGGATGCAGAGTCCTTTCCCAAATAGTGGTTTATACTTTGGAATAACTTCAAGTACAAGTGCATTTGCATTGAGGTACCATGGAGCAGCTAGGAACTGGAAGTAAGTTACAATACTGGAAGTATTGTAACAAATGTGGTTGTGGAGAGAATGTAGGTAGGTAAGTGTCCAAATCTGTGTTTCATAGGGACACCAACGTTGCAAAGTTTTTGCTGTTGGACGTACTTCTCACTTTATCTTCACAGGGTGATGCTTTTAATGTGCTTTTATGTTTAGTAAGTATGGTACCAGAAAGAATACTTGCCAGTGTGACTTCTGTAGTAACTATTTATTTGCTCAGATTTCTTTTTTTTTTTTGAGGTATCTCATGTCAGTGCCAACTCAGACCTGCTCATTAGTATACAGGTGCATCTACATTTTTTGTTAGTGTCGTGGTTTAGCCCCAGCCAGCAACTCAGTACCACGCAGCCGCTCGCTCACTCCCCCTACCCCGATGGGATGGGGGAGAGAATCGGAGGAGTAAGAGTGAGAAACACTCCTGGGTTGAGATAAGAACAGTTTAATAATTGAAATAAAGTAAAATAGTAATGCTAATAGTAAACGTCTAATAATGGTAATAATAATAATGATACACGAAGCAAGTGATGCACAATGCAATTGCTCACCACCTGCCGACCGATACCCAGACAGTTCCCGAGCAGCGATCGCTGCTCCCCGGCCAACCCCCCCCAGTTTATATACTGAGCATGACGTCATATGGTATGGAATAGCCCTTTGGTCAGTTTGGATCAACTATTCTGGCTGTGCCCCCTCCCAGTTTCTTGTGCGCCTGGCAGAGCATGGGAAGCTGAAAAAGTCCTTGACTAGCATAAGCAGTACTCAGCAACAACTAAAAACATCAGCATGTTATCAACATTCTTCTCCTACTAAATCCAAAACACAGCACTATGCCTGCTGCTAGGAAGAAAATTAACTCTATCCCAGCCGAAACCAGGACAGTTAGTTTTATCTTAAGTATATTATGCAATTTTTTTGGAAACTATCAAAGCCATCAACTCTTTTGCCTTTTATAGTAAATAAGTTGGTTTTTTTAATTTCTTTCATGTCTTCCTTGTGTCCTATTTCCTATCCCAAAATTGATGCAAAGTACCTGACAAACCAAGAGAGTATTTTTATTGTTCAGTATAATGCCCCAAAATAACATTTGCTTTGAAAAGCTTTGTGTGTGTTTGTTTTTTTCTTACAGATCAGGGAAACTGGCGAAAGACCCAGTAATGAGGAGATCTTAAGGTTCTCTAAACTGTTTGAAGATGAGTTGACCCTGGACAATCTAACCAGGCCTCAGTTGGTGGCACTTTGTAAATTGTTGGAACTTCAGTCAATTGGGACAAATAACTTTCTCCGCTTCCAGCTGACTATGAGGTTGAGAAGCATAAAAGCAGATGACAAAGTAAGTCATTCTAAATAGGCACTGGTTAATAATTTTGACATGTAAGAGTAATGAGTGTGTGTGGATATATGTAGTTTGTCTAGGCATTTTCCTTTTTTGTCTTAATTGTCTTATCTTTGAGCTAACTTATAACGAAAAGACTTGAAGAACTTAAAATCAGAAGTGGCCTTATTTGTAAAGAAAAAGCTGACCTTTTGTTAGTCTACCATTAATTGCAATGAAAATAATTATGTTACAAGGAAAAGCATTTCTATGAAACTAGAATTTGTAAGGGAGCCTATAGAAATGTTAACTTAGAGATTGACATTACTACTATGGAGCTGTTAAGACTGCAGTATAATGTTCACCGTTTAAAAAGTGGAGGCTATTTTGTGTTATCACAGCAGCCTCTAGTGGCCGTTGTAAAAATACAGACTTCTGGGTGTGCATTGATGGTGATTCTTCAGTTTTGAGTTGTTACATGCTAAAGTTTATTTTACGCTTTGTGCAGCTGATTGCTGAAGAAGGGGTTGATAGCCTGACTGTTAAAGAATTGCAGGCAGCTTGTCGTGCCCGAGGTATGAGAGCTCTTGGTGTGACAGAGGAGCGTCTCAAGGAACAGCTTAAACAGGTATGTTTTTGCAAGACTGAATGCACAGACCTAACTTCAGTTGCTAGCTCTGATTTTTGTTATAATTCCGAGAAGTCATTTTGCTTCTATTCTCATTAAAGACTTGGCTAGAACAGTCTTTCTCCTTAATAAGCTTTTGTCATGTGTACTGTGCAAGTATGTAGTAGCAGTGGGTTTCTGGCTTTTGACTGGGCCTTGGTGTTTTGATGATGCAAATAGATATTTGGACTTAAACATATCCGAAATATGTTTGTGATTTTGGCAGTTTGTCTTGTTAATTATTTGTATTACTCTAAAGAACTTTTCTCCAAGTAGGTCAGTTCATTTTCTTTTAGTGTTGCCTGGTTTAGAGGAAGTTGCATGTGAAACAAGACACTTTTCCAAATATTCATTCAATGCTTCTTGAAATACTTCTTCAAACAAAATACTTCTTCATATTTTCAATGCAATTGCTGTAATTCTTAGCTGTTTATAGCCTGTAGTTCCTGTGCTAGGATATTGACTGATAAGTAGTGGTAGTTTTTGTAGTATTGGTAGTAACAGATTAGGGGTTTTTGTGTCTGCTTGACTTGATCTGTAAAAAAAGAAAAAAACTGAAAAGTTGAAGTTGTTCTTTATGTATTACATTTATAGTGGTTAGATCTGCACCTGAACCAGGAAATCCCTACTTCGTTGCTTATTTTATCCAGAGCCATGTATCTTCCAGATACCCTTTCTCCAGCTGATCAACTCAAAACAACACTTCAGACACTACCAGAGAGTGTTGTAAGTATTGATGTACATAGTCTGTAACCAGCTTTCAGTATTATCACTGAAAATCTGTTCAGAGAAGTAGATGTTCTTCTTGGTTCCTTTCTTTTTCTTGAAAAGCTAAACCATGGATAGGTTTATTTGAGTGACCTTCAAACACAGAAGTTGGCTTATATGTGGAGGGGTGTCGTGGTTTAACCCGAGCCAGCAACTAACCACCACGCAGCTGCTCTCTCACTCCCCCTGCCCTGGTGGGATGGGGGAGAGAATTGGAGGAGTAGGAGTGAGAAACACTCCTGGGTTGAGATAAGAACAGTTTAATAATTGAAATAAAATAAAGTAAAATAGTAGTAGTAATAATAACAATATATCAATAATAGTAATAATAATATACAAAGCAAGTGATGCACAATGCAATTGCTCACCACCCGCCAACCGATACCCAGCCAGTTCCTGAGCAGCGATCACTGTCCCCTGGCCAACCCCCCCCAGTTTCTATACTGAGCATGATGCCATATGGTATGGAATAGCCCTTTGGGCAGTTTGGATCAACTATTCTAGCTGTGCCCCCTCCCAGTTTCTTGTGCACCTGGCAGAGCATGGGAAGCTGAAAAGTCCTTGACTAGCATGAGCGGTACTTAGCAACAACTAAAACATCAGTGTGTTATCAGCATTCTTCTCCTACTAAATCCAAAACACAGCACTATGCCAGCTACTAGGAAGAAAATTAACTCTATCCCAGCCAAAACCAGGACAAGGGATCTGAGAATGAGGGAAATAAAAGGCATTTCATTGCATGACGGTAGATAGTAATAGCATAAGATGATTTAGAATATACTTTTTACTTATATAAAAACCAGTCTGTGCTCTGGGCAATATAAAGACATTAATGCATTAAAATGTTGATGTTGTGTAGAGAGAGAAATTATCTGAGTAGATTATTGGTAGTCTTGAGAGAAAGAGAATGAAGAATATTTATGATTTCAGGGTGAAAACTTCTCATTTTCAAAGACAGACAATCATGTTTTTCTGAGAAATGCAAAACCAGGGTAACTTTGGGGGGTTTTAACTATATTTGTTAGCATGCCTGTACTACCTATCTCAGTAAGGATATCTAAATTTCTTACATTATGTAGACATACAGATATATATACACACACATATAGACTGTAATAGACTTCTTGCATTATTTTTAGGCCAAAGAGGCTCAGGTCAAAGTGGCAGAAGTTGAAGGTGAAAAAGTAGATAACAAGGCACGGCTGGAAGCAACACTTCAGGAAGAGGAAGCCATCAGAAAAGAAAATGAAGAAAAAGAGATGGAAAGATTGTCTGAAGCTGCAGAGAAAGCCAAAGAAACCCTTCAAGTTGCAGCCATGGTAAGTTCTGCTCTCAACTATTGAGAAACAAATGTCAGTGATATAAAAACTGCATGTTACGAGGTACTGCCTCTGCTCTGGGTTTTACCTGCAAGAAACTGGACTTTAAACCCGCATACGGAAAATGTGGGAGAATAGTAAAACAGACTGCAACAAAGAACGGTTCACTGTGAAACATAAAAGATTGTCTCAGTCTTACATATCTTTGATTTCTCTTTCCTCTTAATTAGAGTAATAAGAGATGCCTTTTATTTCTCTAGCAAAGGTGGTTTTGTTTGGTTTTTGATTTCTCCCACCCCAGACTTTAAATGTTCTTATCTTTGGCTCTTTCTTTTTGTCATTGATCTGTTAATGTCATTGTATAATACTTAACTATAAAAGCTGCTGGCCTGCTTTACTGGTGAATTAAGCCTCAGGAGCTCACAGGCATAGTTCATTAAGTGCAAGTGGGTATTTTAATGTGAAACCACTCAGTATGTTGCAGCTTTTTAACATTGTCTTCTCATAAAAATGTCTGCATCTGCTTTGGCAACCATTCCTATTTTGAGAAGTCATTCTTTACTGATGCTAATACAGATAATGCTATCTTTGTTTTAATTAAAACTTCATGGGTCTTTCAAATTTAGAAAGAGGTGGAATCAGCAGTAGATCTTGAAGCAGCTGCTCTGCAAGTTAAAAAAAGTCAGATGGCTATGGATACGGAACAAGAACTGGCAAGGGCAGATATGGCGATGCACTCAGAGACACTGAAAGATACAGCACCAGTACTGGAAGGCATTAAGGTAATCTGGATAACTGTATGTTTTTATATTTTTTTTTTTTTTTTTTTTTTTTTTAATGTTGAGATTCAAAACATTCATGTAAGGGCCACGATAAGTTGCCTGGCTGTCCTTCAGTTTTAACCCTCTCACCACATTCTGTCAGTTAAAACCGGCTAATTAGTAGATTGCAAATTCTTAACCACCAATGCAGAAAGTGAAGTCAGCACAAAATATCTCCGAGTATCTCCTTTATCTATCTGTGTTACTGAAACTAATATACCTATTTTGGGGGGCATTTACACTGGCTGTAGACGTAATGGACCTGTGCATGTTTAATCTGTGTATAGTTAACACATGAGGAGGGAGAGGGCAAGAGTAGGTAAAGATGAGTTTAATTCTCTTGAAGGGTGTAGCTAAGACCAAAGAATTAAGTAAGGAACTAGGTTTGGACTAGACTGTACTAGATTTGTATCGACTTTCTCTTCTAAACTGATATGGGCAGTGTATGTACACTATAAAAACTTTTTAGTGTACTCTTTCACTATTTCATTAGTATGATGTTGAACATAATTTATACCACTGTTAAAGTAACAGGTTAATTTCTAGTATTAGCATGCTTTGCTGTGATCAGAGCATGCTTTATTAGTCAGAGCATGCTGGTTTTAATCATTTGCTACCTGGCTGGCCTGTAGCTCTGCAGATTCTCCTCCTTGCCCTTACTGAAGATAGGAGTGACATCTGCTTTCTTCCAGTCGTCAAGAATCTTCCGTGATTGCCATGTCCTTTCAAAGATAATGGAGAGTGGGCTCTCAATGGCGTCAAACAACTCCCTGAGCACTTGTGGTTGTGTCCCATTAAGTCTCACGGACTTGTGTGTGTTCAGTTTGTTTAAATGTTCTCTAACCTGATCCTCCTCCACTGATGGTAGATATTCCTTGCTCTAGACTTCCCCATTGGTCTCAAAGACCTGGGTTTCCTGAAGGTCAGTCTTACCAGTAAAGACTGAGGAAGACATTGACTACCTCTGCCTTTTCCATGTCCTTTTGCATTAGGTTTCTGGTCCCATTCAGCAGCAGGCCCACATTTTCTCTTGTAATCCTTTTGCATATGGTGCACTGTACTTGTAGCCCTGTATGTTAGGGAGTGTTTTGACTGTCTAGAGCTTGATGATGATGACGATACGGTTGAGTGTTTATGGGTAAGAATCAGGGGTAAGGCCAACCAGGCAGGTATCATGGTGGGAGCCTGCTATAGACCACCCAACCAGGATGAAGAGACAGACAAAATGTTCTATAAGCAGCTGGGAGAAGTCTCACAATTGCTAGCCCTTGTTCTCATGGGGGACTTCAACTTACCAGATGTCTGCTGGAAATACAATACATCAGAGAGGAAACAGTCCAGGAGGCTCCTGGAGTGTGTGGAAGATAACTTCCTGACACAGCTGGTGAGTGAGCCAGCTAGGGAAGTCGCCCTGCCAGACCTGTTGTTTGCAAACAGAGAAGGACTTGTGGGTGATGTGGTGGTTGGAGGCTGTGTTGGGCGCAGCGATCACAAAATGATAACAGTTTTTGATTGTTGGAGAAGTAAGGAGTGGGGTCAGCAGAACTGGAACAGGTTGCCCAGGGAAGTGGTTGCGTCCCCATCCCTGGAGGTATTTAAAAGATATGTAGATGTGGTGTTTAGGGCGATGGCTTAGTGGTGGGTTTGGCAGCGTTAGGTTTGGACTCAATGACCTTAAAGGTCTTTTCCAACCTAAATGATTCTGTGTAGAAGCCCTTCTTCTTGTCCTTCACCAGATTTAATGCTGGGTAGGCTTTGGTTTCCTGAACCCATCCATGCATGCTGAGACAGTGTCTGTGTGTTCCTCCTGGCTCACCTGTCCCTGCTTCTACCTCTTGTATGCTTCCTTTTCATGTTTCAGTTGTACCTTGAGTTTTATTTTTAGCTGAGCACTTTATTTTTGTCCATGAGGTTTGATAATCAGGATTTTTCTCAGTCCTAGTGTTACTCTGCAGAATAAGAATATTATTTTAAAATGGATGTTTTAAGTAGAAAAATGTCAATTTTCCTGGACAGCATCATTATCTACCTGCTATTATTATAACATTGTTTACCTTAGAATGCTGCCAAGAAGGTTTTAATGGTAGTAACAAAATGGAAGTAATCCACATTGAAATCATGCATTGTTGTGTGATGAGCTGGCTGACTGCGTACCTGGGTGCATGATAGTGCAGCCATGAGGAATGCCATGGGAGGGAGGCAGACAAGGCTGGGATGATCTCGTTTGGAAACAGCAAGGAAGTGTGACCTCGCAGCTAGTTTACACTGACGTATCTGGCATCGTGTTCGCATTGCTGCCTGCCATGCCACTGCCACTGTGAGAATGTATGACACTGGGCCACAAGTAGGACTTCTTCAACAGCCCTAACTGATAAGAGAAAACAAGAAGTGAAGTTAGAGTGGCACTTCTTAACCGAGGTTACAGTGTGGCCTGTCCCCTAAAGATGCTTCCAAAGATTTTTGAACACCATGGAACACATTCTTGCCTCTTAGAGGAAAAATGTAAGACTCCCAGCTTCTTGAAGATGACTGATTTTATTTGAGGCAGAGGAATTTGTTTTCAAACTGAGTTGCTTGCCTTTTTTTTTTTTTTTTTGGCAGCTAAGGTGAGCTATAGATACTGTATTAAAATCGGAAGTGAGGTTGATGCCTAGATATTGACAGTACACTGAAACTTTCTGAGTTGACGAAGGGGCTGGATGCCTAGTTTGGAAATGTTCTGTAGTTGTTTCTTGGAAGCATATTATCCTTCTGCTCTGTTTCTGGTATCCTTGTTTGCACATGTCTTTCTACTTATGCACTGTATTTATGTGGCTGTTCGGAGCTTAGCCATTCAAAATAAAAGCTGGTGTCTGGGTAAGATTAATATGCTAATTGTAGCTAGTATTATGGGATTTTAGCATTTTTAATGAATCATCTTGAAGTCTTATTTTTTAAGTAATCAGTTGGGGGTTAGATTTTTATTCTTAGCTTTTCAAGAGACAGGTATACTTCACAATCTATGGGTGTTCATCCTCATTCTCTCAAAGGTTGTTGAAGATAACTTTGCTCCAGCTCAAGTTCCTGAACTTTGCTCTGCAAATTTTTGTGTAATTTATCTTTCCTGTACATAGTGAATCATTTCTTAGTTGTTTGGATTTTTTACCCAGCAAAGAAATGTATCATAGCAAACTAATTGCTTTAGCATTTAAGATCTTTGCATTAGCCTCAAAATGCAGATCTCTGCACTAGCCTGGAAATGGCTATGATGATATTGACTCCAAACATGAAAAAGAATCTTGAGTCTGTCTTTTCTGGTAAAAGACCCAAAATCCTTGAGGAAAATCACAAATGTGTCTTTCACTAATTTTTATATATTTCTGTTACAGGGTGAGGAAATCACTAAGGAGGAGATTGACATGCTGAGTGATGCTTGCACCAAGCTGCAGGAACAGAAAAAATCACTGACAAAGGAAAAGGAGGAGCTCAAGGAATTGAAGGGTGATATCCAGGAGTATAATGAGGTGAAGAATGGGGCGTGGAAGTTCTTTATTTATTCCTATTCATGTTTAGTTTTAGCATAAGTGATCCACAAAAAGATTATCCTGCTTGGATGTCTGTTAGCCTCTAGCTGGTAGTTGAGTGAATGAACTTTATATGGGACAATACAGAGCCTCATTTGTGTAATGTGTTTAAAGCCTAGTTAAAATCATTGGTGTAGTTCCCACCAGGTGAGGATCCTGTTCCTGCTCTTATTCCCAGCGTGACTAGACTAACAGGTGCTGAGTAACTGCTGCATGCTGCAGTTCTTTCTTATCAAGCATAGATGTCAGTATTACAGATACTTCAAGTTGAGTAAAATTAATCTTATCCAGTCTTATGAAAGATGTGGAAAATAACATCTAAGGGGTGCATGAAAAAGGCAGCAGTGTTAGAATTTATTGTTCTAATTCTAGTTTGGCTTTATATGTCTATACATTTGCATCTATGATTTCATTTACAAATGGCTCCTGTCTTGAAACGCTAGTTGAAGCCAGTAGTGTCTGGTGTTGAGAATTCACACTGACAAAAGCTTTTCTCTTTCTTGACCATTTCCTTCAGGATTTGCAAGAGATAAAAGAGCTCTCTAAAACTGGCCAGGAAGAGGTAGTCGAAGAGTCAAAGGCAAGCAAGCGATTGACCAAGAGAGTGAACCGAATGATTGGTCAGATAGACAAAATTATTAATGAATTAGAGACAAGTCAAAAGGCGGTGGATGTAAAGCTGGATGGTGGCGATAGTCCTCGTGCTGGGTAAGTGACTTGAGAGCACTGAATGTGTCTCTGACGGCTCATCTTCAGTCATGCTTTTGTCAGATGTGCAATTAGAAAAGAATTAGCAAAGAAGGTGTTTAGAATGTTAATTTAATTTAAAAATAAAATTAACAAAATTGTGCTGTAGATTTTCTATCTTCTAAGGTATGTTAAATATGGTTGAAATGAGGAAGGAAAACAGCAGGTATAATTCCCCAGATGCTAGTTCTGAGGGGGTTCTGAAAGTCAAAGTGTCGATGAGTATCTTACCATCTTGTTCATGCCTGTAGCGCTAATGTTGATGCAGGTGAAATCATACCTTTAGTCAGGCTCCTCACCTAATAGGTTTGCCCTGTCTCATTGGTTGAAAAGGTGTGCAACAGTGTGGTAAGCATATTGATGTTTGTTCTTTAGTAGTGAAGATGTCAGTGATGAAAAAAATTGCAATACAGTCTATTCTGTCTCTGGAGAGAAATGGAGGAACAGGTCTAATGGAACTAAGGAGATGATTTTACATGGTCTCTTGCTGAAAGTTTGCTTCATTTCAACTTTGACATACTTGCAGGTTTTTAAAGACAGGTCTTTCTTGATGGTTTCATTGCAAAAGTCATTTATCAACACTTCTCCAGGTCTTAATGTTACTGGAGAGTCTTTCAGGCAATCGTATGTTGAATGGTCATATGTTGCCTATTACAGGCACTGAAATGCCTAAAAACTGTGACTGTAATTCTCAGTTTGTGATTATGAATGCTGTATTAACCTAGTTTATGCTTGCACTATTTTGTGTGATTCATTAAAAGAGCTTCCCAGCTCCCATAGACCATAACCTAAACAGAAATAAGGATTCTGCTTTTGTTGCTTCCAAACTTTGTTTTTTCCAGTCCCCAGGGCAAACAGTCATTTGTTTTAGATTTTGCGTAATAAGATTAGGGTGGCCATATGAATGGTGCTATAGAGTTGTTGATCAAAACCATCCAAATTGGTGAATTAGAAATACAATATAGAATCTGCTTGTACTGAATGTATGGTGTAATTATACTTCATGTAATGGATGGTTTTGTGGATAATTTTATAGGTGATTGTGGATGACTGAAAATTATTAGTTTAAATATTGCTTAATTGTCAAAGGCTTCTTTTTTTTAACCTTTAAGTTGGTGCAGTCGTTACCAAGCCATCAAAAGTCATAGAAACAACACAAGTCCAGGACATTGAGTGGCAGCTTGAGAAATGCTCCTTGAATAAAAGTCAGTCTGTGCCCAGAGGTTAGGGCCAGGTATGGAGCTGGGACTGTACTGATAAAGCCCTTCTGCTTAATATTTGTTGGGTGCACTGTCTCCTGCATTTCAGCTTGAGCTGTGCTGGAAGATGGTTCTTCAAACTAACAAAACTACATAGGCAAGCAGAGGCTTTGGGTTGCAGGAGACAGACAACTTCAGCTTCATGAGATCAGTAAGCAGACAGTGGAAACATCTGAAACCTGCTAGTCATGATGTTGAGTTTAGTCCTTTCTTCTACAAAGTCTATTCCTTGCTATGAGCAAATAAAGCCTATTTTAACGAAACAGCTAAATTGCTGAAGTGATTAGTTCTCAGCTTTCATTTTCCTGTGACTTTAATTACTTTTGTGTAGGCCAGCCTCTCTAAATCTAAAAGGATGACAGATGCATGGCACTGCATCTTTGGTAAATGGGTGCGGGGGGAAAAGGGCATTAGGTATCTACGGAAGCACAGAAACTGTGCTAAACTTCATTTAAAATGCTACTGGATACCTGTATTTCTGCAATAAAGCACATGGAGACCAAAAGCCTAAGATTCAATGGTAAGATAAAGATTCATTTGAAATCTGCTTGCTGCTCAGTAACTCAGTTTTGGTTTTTTGCATTCTGTTCGGGATTATTAATAAATAATTAATGTTTTTACAAATGACCTGCAGCGTAGTGACTTTCAGTACTGCCTTTTGTCAACTTCACTCCTTTGGAGTAACTGCTTGCCACATGCAGGTTGTGCTTCCTCTTCAGGGAGAATCTCATCAGTATTGCTGAGCTAATTAATGCAATGAAACAAATTCAGAAGATTCCAGAGGAGAAGCTAACTAGGATTGCAGAGGCACTAGATGAAAACAAGGATGGCAAAATTGATATCGATAATGTTGTTAAGGTAAGTCTGTGGACTACTTAAAGAAAATAAGGCTAGCCATCCTTCAAACATTGTACCTTTTTTGACTTAAATTCATATTGCTGTCTTTTGCAAGAGTCTTTAGTTGATGCCAGTGAGGTTTTTGGTAAATGTAAAATTGTAAATAGATCTTATACATATTAGCATCTTCAGATTTTATATGGCTATTTTTTAGTGTGGGGGGAGGGGGAGTCTTTATCCTGTGTCTGTTACCCACATTACCTTTAAAGCTGTAGGTTTTCCTGTATGCCTATGTCAAGTTCTGTAAAATATGGTAATTTTGTTCTGCTACTTATGAATGGGAGGGAGGATGGGAAGGAGCTTTAGAAGTAGTACTTTAGGAATAACACTATTAGCCAAAGTCTTGCCATAATGCATATAGATATACTTTATGTCAACACAGGACAACAGCTTCTCTTGTCTACTTGCATACCTTAGATACCTCATTGAGACCTGTATTTCCTATGCTTGAAAGACATCAGTTGTCCTTTAGGTCCTTTGTAAACGACCTGTGTTCTTTGCTTGATCTGTCCTGTTTTCTCGTTTTGCAGAATATTCTCAGATTTTCCCTGCATTTCTGCTTCATTTTCTTGGTAAATTTACTTGGTAAATTTAGAGATGTCCTGGAACTTACTTCCTTGCAAGTTATTTTCCTGCTCAATACAGAAATAGCACTTAAACTATGGCCAGCTAGAAAATACAGTATCAGCCTTTTGAAATACATTTTTCCTCTCTACTGAAGTTGTCCCACTAGTGATTATCTTCCCTGTTGCTCTAAACAGCCGTTGTACATTTAGCAACACAGGTAAAATGTACTTCTGAATTCTGCATATAATGCAGAATACTTCTAGGAACTTGAGGAGCTACGCCAAGAATACATTTGTACAAAAAGCTATATAAAGGAATTTGGAATCACCTGCTAAATTATTTTTTCATTTTGCTTTCTGAAAGGCCTACTCCCCTCTACTTTCAAGTTTTTGTAGACTTGTGCCTCTTTAGTACAATAGGTCTTTTTGATAAAATTAAGCCTATAAAATAAGTACTGTCTTAAATACTATTTCAGCAGGTACTGAATCTGAGCTTTTCATTGGAACAGATAAAATAAACGGGTCTGTTCTACTAATGCTTTAAAATGTGGGTCTTTGTGTGCTGAGGTCAAAAGTTCTAGATCATTTGCTTTAAGTTTTAGCTTTTTTTTTTAATACTCTGGATATGTTTGAGGCACTGGCTGTGGTTTGAATTTGTTTCATGTAAGAAAATATGCTGTTTTTCTTGAACATGAGAGAACAGATTACTTTTTTTGTCTTAAAAATTTATGATATGAAAATGCCTCAATCATGTAAAAACTAAATGCTCTCCCAATTTTATTTTATGTCATGTAGGTAGTAGAATTGATTGACAAAGAAGATATTGATATCGGTACCAGTCAGGTTGCTGAGATTATGGCACTGCTTCAAAAAGAAGAAAAACTGGAAGAAAAAGAGAAAGCAAAGGAGAAGCATGATAAAGAAGCTGCAGAAGCAAAGAACTAAGTTTCAGAATCTGAAGCTAAGCCCAACTGTAACCAAAACCTTGTATATCTTTGTGTCTAATGGCTATATATTACTTGAGCTTTGTGATTATGGGAAGTGTTTTGAGCTGATTCTAGTAATAAATTGTAGATACGTTTTCTGACATATGGAATGAAATTTCCGTTCATCAGAGAAGTGATTTACTGTCATTCCATACAGATGAAAACAAAATATGCTTCTTTAGCAGTGCTCCTGCCCACAAAATCATGTATTTGCACTTATTGTTGTGGTACAGTGATCCATTAAACTTGTGAGTTTCCTGCATAAATTAAGTGTATCTATCATGGAAAAATGTTTCTCATTTATTTTTCTTTCATCATTACATGGGCCCCAACCTTGCTCTGCTTCTACCTTTTACTTTTTTCAGAATTTAATACAAACTTTCCCTTCTGTCACAATACTACATATTTTGTAACCTGTTAGTGAAGATTCTGTGGCTTCAGTAGTAGCTCTTTAGATTGAGTTTTATTTAAGCTAAATATCACTAAGTTGTTGCCTCACTGACAGAGAATGTGGCATTCTAATCACTTTTATGAATTCATGATTATTATTTTTTTCTGTTGAAGGGAAAATCAGATTTATTTTTCCCTAGAATGGAAACTTCCCATGAAGTTTGCTTCTTATGGGTGCCTTAAATTTCTTAAGTCTAGGGAGTAGAGGATGTCGGTTCTACTCAAAATTCCATGAATTACTAAAGCATTAGAATCACAGGAGCCTTTAAAATAGTTTCAGAACACAATCTGTCACACAGTAAAGTGAGTTAAAGTGTTTGTCTAAACAGCAAAGTAAAAATAATCATAAGGGGAAAATGTCAGTTGTGATCTTTTTGCATATATTTTTTTAAAAATGCAGTTACCTTCGCATGTTTGTTGTTTTTCATCTGATAATTATTTACACCATAATTAATTCTCTTACCTCTCATACCTCTTTCATCTCAGGTATAAAATCACTAACCAGGTATGGTCAAAGTACATAAATACTTTCATCTCATGGCCTTGCTTAATGTGCAGTCAGCAAGTCATGTCTGGTATTTGATTACATCATTGGCTTTCTGATTAATTGCTTATAGTTACTGTCTTTAACTGTGTGGTTAAATACTGGCAGTAGGTCAAGGTTTACTCATTAATGTCTGTCCTTAGTAGTAAATTTTTAAGTTTAAAAACTAAAATACCAACTCTGGGATGTTCCATAATTCCTGGAAGCCTAAATTTTCCACTCATTCTTAAAATCTGTTATGAAATACACAGTGTGACTTGAGCCAGCAGGGTTGTGGTTTATTTTTCTTTTATTTTTATTTTGCACCCAGTATTGTAAAATACATGAACATTCTTGATTTTGTGTACACTATAGAGAGCACATCTTACAATGGCACTGTACACAGTGATGTCAAGGTGGGCAGTTAGTACTTATGCTTTTAGTCATAGTTGCATATTTTTGTAGAAAATATTGACTCCCAAGCGTATTTCAGCATAATTCCATGTTCAGTATTTATCTAGATTGGCTAAATTATTTGTAAAAACTTATTTGAAGTTAGTGGAACAAAAAAAGTTTTGACAGTCTCATGGCTTGCGTGATGGACCATTGTATTTAGTTGTTTCCAAAGCAAGATATACAGTAAGATGTACAGTACAAGTAATTCTAGAAAATGGGTCAGTGTTTAGTTCTGAGTTCATATTCTGTATAGTTAGCAAAGAAAGCTGCTTGCAGTAAGAAAGATCCTCCTGAGAATTGCTGTAATTGTGTCTGAAGTGTAAAAATGCTGTGACAAAGCTGAAATTTCAAGTTAGTACGATCTTTGTAGTTCATGTACCCCTAAACAAGGGAGCTGTTCTCTTCCTTGTAAATGGAGATTAACTTGGAGATTTCAGCATGAAAGTCATTTTGTAGATTTTGAAGATAGGACTTCACTAGATGCTTTTTTAGGCCAAAACTTAGATGAAAATGCAAGAGTAAAACTAATTTCACAAAAATACAATTTAAAAACTAATTTTACATTGTGTAATTTACAATTAGAATTAATGGGCTTTGAAGTCTGCTAAATTTTACAGTTGCGTATCTTCGATTTGAAAACAATGTATAACAATCTTACTTGACATTCCTGAAACATGATAAAGATACTCTAAAATTGTCTGCTACCTTTCATGGAATATCAGAAACCTAAGAATTGTGTGCACTTTAATGCATGCAAGTTTAAAACAGGGAAGTAGCAGAAAAAGCTGTTTTCAAAGATTTATTGATTAAAGTTTTACAGAGCTTTAACTGTCCTTACAGTAAATTGTCTGATTTTAGTATTTGGGAGTTTAAGACACTTTGCTGCTGTTCTTTTTCCATGTTTGCTGTTCACTTAAATTTTCTGTGGATTAAATAAGGGAGCCAAAAGTAGCTGGGTTTTTTTAAATGAAGAATGCCCTGATTAAAATAATTGTGATACATTTATTGAACACTTTTAGCTTTTGGACCTGTTTGAAATTTGGCATATTGTGAAATTTTAACAGGTTACATAAAATACATTTAAATGTCAATCACAAATGTCAGTTTTCCCCTGTTACCTAAAGTGTTTAAAGGGCACACGCATCAACTGTAGCGAAGCATTTTCACAGGGAATATTTTCTTTCTGATGTTGAAAGTAGGCAAACCCATGACAGCTGGACTTGAACAACACATGTTCTGCAAGCTTAAAAAGATTAGGAAGCCCTCAGTGATTGCCATTTACCTGGTTTTGAACCTTCTGGAGCAGCTCCGTCCAGGCGATACAGACAACTTCAGCAAGTTGGTGGCTTGAGGGACTAGCTTAAGATAATGTGCTTTGTTGTCTTTTGTGTTGACCAAAAAATCCCAGAAGCTGCAGTACTTTCAGAGAAAGGACAAATTCCAAGTGTACAGTAACTGGTCAGAACTTATTCCTGAATGAATATTTAATCAGGAGATGTAAATATTTGTTTAAATAACTAAAGGATGCGTGAGATTTCAGTGACCTTGTGACTTACACAGGCAAAGCCTCTAAGCTCAGAGTTAGGTAATCAGGAAGACCATTGTTGGGGTGCTTTCAGATTCAAATAAGATCAGATTTTGATTATAAACTATTCAGGGGAAAAAAATGTGAAACATCTAAAAAGTTTTTAAAAAAAATCAATTTAGCAACAGGGACAAGAAGTAAAGTAGGATGTCATTTTTTTTTTTCCCCTTCAAAACAAGCAGGTTATAGGACCTGTTTTATTGAAAAATTTGTTTCCATTTCACATTAGCTCAAAAGGTGTTTTTTAGTGAGATTTTCATCACTGACTGCATGCTTTGAGAGTAAATCTGCCTGCAAGTTAAGTACCAGAAAGTTAATTTAATAGGTAGTTTGTCAGCAGGACTTGCATGCATGTAGAGGATATTCTCTTGACGGGATAGTTCCTTACACTTACGTAGGCTTTGTCTGGGGGAAAAAGTTACATTTTTTTATACAACTCCAAAATACTTCTTGTAACTTTGTATCTACATACCTTGCCTAATAATTTAAACTTTAACTACTTCAGCATGTATTTAAATACTTTTAAATTGTTTATATCAAATTATTGGGTATATTTAATTAAAGGAATAATCCCATATTCTGTTCGTTGTATGTATTCCAAGTTTTGCTTTTCAGTTGAAGAATTTCAGCCTGTGTTAAAAATTTAAGTTGAAAATCATTGTCTGTGCTCTGAGCATATTGGTCCTGTGTTTGCCATAATGCAGTATAAAATTTTTAATTTAACTGGAGCTTGTGTCCTTTGTTTAGTTATAATAAATGTATCATTTTGAAACTTAATCTCTCTATTATTTTTCTGTTGCTTTTGATTTTTAGTGTTAATTTATTGCTGTTCAGATGCGATGCCAGTCACAGAGCTGGACAGTGATGAGCTGAGTATTATAACTGGAATGTTTGGGGTAGAATAGGGCAAGTGAAGAACAAATCTTCAAACCAGGGTGGGTGGTGGGTT